GAGCCATCAGTCATGTCGTTCTTTCATGTCTTTTTCTTTCACACAAGCAATAAACAAACACGCTGAGGGTTTATCAGAATGAGGATGGACACATACCAATGTGAGATAGGCCATGCTCCTGGCCCATCGCAATTAGGGAGACTTGCTCATCCAAAATATTTATATAGTGAGCATTTGATAATATTATTACAAGTTGAAGTAAGCTGTCATGCCTACGGAAGCAAGACACCCCATACGGATTCATCATTGCAGCTGGCCAGACCTCCATGGGGTCTGGCTATGCGGCGGCCGCTTGGTTAGCGGTTAGCACGAGCAGGGGGTATGCACATGTTCAATGGGTCGAGCCACATGATGAGGACCAGCGGTCACCATCCCCTACTGTATATAAATAAAGTTTCCCAGAACCAAATCATCAAGCCTGAGCCTGTCTGCGTCCAAGCTTAAGAAGCTACTAGGTACTAGCCTAGTAGCTTAGTCGCTACTTATATAGTTCTCTGACTTCCAACTGCTTCCTTCAGCAGCAGGAGCTGTCACTTTAATCCTCTCAGGCACTTTCTAAACCGTCATAGCACCGACTGAGGCTAGCATGGCCTTAGCCTGAACAACTTGCCTAGCAAAAGGTTTAAGTTTGCTGCCCCATGACTAGGGCTCGATGAAGATTTCACCGACTTCCGCAAGACGTAGCCGTCAGCTGTGGTAGGGCTCACGACCACTGGTCCCTTCATGTCCTGTTTTTGGCCGGGGGTGGTTGGGGAAAGTAGCATGAACTCTTTGGTCGGACGCCCACTTCACCTATTTTTACCTCACCTTTCATCTGAGGCTGGGCTCTTGGGGCTTTTGCGCTGCTTGTGGTGTGCGAGGTGGGCCGGAGGATTGCTGCGGACTTTCACCGACTTTCCCATGCATTCAACAAAAAAGGTAACTCTCACCCAAGTCCTCTAAAAAGGTGGCTTGCAGGAACACGACGGCAGAACCGTTCGCCCTGTCTCAAAAAGTAACGTAAATCCGCCGTGGAGCATGAGATCTATTGATCTATTGATAGCAGGATTCACGGCCTTGCTGGCTCACGGGTTCCGGCAGGTCAACCATCATTTTGGGTCTGTTTTTAAACACTTTGCGTTGGCCAGCCCCTCGAGATACCTGCCAGCTTCTGTTTGCTGTTTCGCTCAACGTCCAGTTTGCATCACAAAGGTCTCGTGTTTGAGATGGTTCGTTGAAACTCTTGAGGCCCAGTGGTAAGAGTTTCAGAGCCGAGGTCCGTCGGCTCCAAAGCAAAGCATTGAGCAATCACGAGCAATTTCCATGCACTGTTGTTTCAGGTCTTCCTTGCTACCCGCGAATGTCATGCTCAGGCAAGTTTTATTTTTGACTTTTTTCGGACTGCTACGGAAAGTGATGGGGGAAACCAAAGGCCTTGAAATGTTGCAAATGCACACCTGCACATGTGCATACACACATCCATATGGTACCCACAAAGATGTGGACCTTTTTTCTCTCCTAAGCTTTCTACCGTGCGTGTGATCCCTTTTAGACTTCAAAGTTGAGCGGATCGCCATTGTTGATACCACGTCAACAAGTTAAAAAAGGATTCGATTCGATGACAAAGAGCAAGGAGCAAGACTGACATTATATAACTGTTTTTCCTAACTCGTAGCCTTCTTTTCCTATTGCTTCCTTGAATCTTGCTCCTAGTAGGGCTTTTGCCAAATGTCCTGAAAGCAGTGATGTGGTGCCCAGCAGCATCCATCCGGCCAGGCAACTCCACCCGCAGTTGTCAGCTGAAATGGCTGAGGCAGATCTGTGCAGATCCACCGATCATGCGTTAGGGATGTCCGAGAAAGGTGATGGGTCTTTAGTACCGTAGGTCCGCTGGCTTGGGGACGTGTGTAGACACGCTGTCGTGATTGTAAATGCTATGCTGATATACTGGCATGCTGTCACGTGGGCAAGTTGTCAGGCGGTCATGCTGACATATGGCTGTGGGTCAAAAACTGGAGGCCCCAAACCTATCCAAACCTAGTCTCTGTTCATTTTTGGTGGTCAACCAGGGTGTCCTGGTTTTGACCCACAGCCGGCCAATTTTTCGTGCTAACTTGCTGGCGGGTTTCCAAGGCGTCCTTGCTCCTAGTAGCGGTGCCCTTTGCTCCTAGTAGCTTCTTGCTACTAGTAGAAATGCCAGGAGCTACTAGTAGCGTCCTTGCTCTTAGTGGCGATGCCCCCAAGGCCTGCCCCGGAAGAGGTTCCTTGGTTTTTGTTCGTTGCAATGTGGTCATGCTTGCATAGAGGTACTGACTCGACGTATTGCCGTGATCATATGCTTTGCATGGCACATTGAAAAGGTTCACGCTTTTGAAGCAGCAGTGTCCAACAAACACACTGCCACACGTTGCCATTAAACTGTGCCAAACTGTGGGGGATGTTTGTTTTTTTTTTTTTTTTTATTTTTGTTGAGTTTTGGAAGATGGTCCCCACCCTCTCACACGAACGTCAGGGCGGGAGCTTGCTGATTCTCACGGAGTCCATGCAACTCTACCCATCGCGGGTTGCCTTAGGGGTTATCATTCGCACAGTCTGTGGAGCGGAGGTTTTGACAACTGGCCTTCCAATGTATGGCTTGTGTAAGGCAACCCCAAGAGGGCTTCAACAAATTGACTCAATTTGTTCGCCATGGATGTGGGTCAGGTCCTCTACCATTCGAAGATGGAAAATTGGGTTCTCAGATCAGCCACTTGCAACAGAGATGCTGCTGCTAAGGCTAGGCTAGGGTGTTTCTGAGTTGCAGAACGTTGGTCCAATCTAAGAGGATGGGATTGAGCGAGGTGCCAATTGATGTTCCAGTCTAGCCGGTGTGTTGTTTTTGTTCAACGTGCCACATGTTTTCAGAGACTGGGCGAGATCTGTTGAGCAGGGTGAACCATCAAGGGCTCTTTTTGAGACTGAGCTCCCTTCCAGTAATAGACGATAGTGCTGGTAAAGGATTACTTTGCGCACCAACTTTCACTTTAAGCTACGCATCTCAACATGTTGCAATGCCAGCCATCGCCAGCGCAGCTTAGGCTCATTCTCCAGACCGGGCTAGGGCTGGTGAACAGCTTTAGTACGAGGCCAAGAGATTATTTAAACCCGCAAGAAACGGAAACGGAGGTTCAAAAAGCGATTTCCCTGAAAGGATGCAAATTGCAAATTGGACGGATTGTTGTCGTGCTTTCTTTTCAGACCATGTTGACTCCTTATATACTTAGAACATGGCTTTGCTCAAGGTGACGTGTTGAGACAGATTTGTGCGGGATACGTTGCTCAGGTTGCAGCGGCACCCACTGCTCTGCCCTAATCTGGGCTGAGCTCGGTGAGGCCATTGACAGCGTAGTCGAGAGAGGGAAGCCGTATGTGTCCGTAATGGTTTGCTTTTCTGTGCAACCAGACAATAGCGTTCTCCCAGATTCCGACTTTGGAGCCTTCCCATAGGTTGAACGATCCGACGATCCATGCAGTTGTTGTTTGTTCAGGAAGGTGACTGATGGCCAGTACAATTTCTTCACTCTCTAGGTTTCAGAGTTGCTGGGGGGCAAGCGTTTTTACTTTGAAACCTCACAAGCACGGTTGTCTGATATATCAATGGTATATTTTAAGGCTTACGCCTGACAGCCAAAGGCCGGCTGAGGAAGAAAGGAGAGAGAAGAAAGGGAAAGGATGACCACTCTCAGAATCTCTCAGAGAATCGCAGAGAGCTGGAGGAACAGTCGCCCGAGCTCTGGATATGCGGGTGCGTGTTTGTAGAGCTGGGTGGTTTATGGGACAGCAAGTGGCAAGCAAGACGGGGGCCGGGACGTGGGGCATCTTGAGCCGAGTGCATGTTGGGCCGCTCTGGTGAGAAGAGGGGACCATTTTGAGCCAGCCCAGGTTGGGCCTATGTCGCGCGCAAGCGGCCTATGTGGGGCTCCGTGTTGGCCCATCTTGCGCCCCTTATTGGCCCTATGTTGGCCAGTACCGGCCCTTTGTTGGTCAGTCTTGTGTCGGCGAAAAAAAACGTCAAAAATCGGACGGCCACAAAGCACAAGAAGTTGCTGCGAGTTCAGTCCTGCAGGGCGCCGGCCGAGGAAGGGAGGAGAGAGAAGGAAGGGTGGGACACCCCCGGCAGCATCCTCCGCAAGGAGGGGGCTGACTGTCCCTGTAGAGGACTCTACAAAAAGTCGGGTGAGCCGTCGAGATGCAGGAGCAAGACAGACTGCAGCTGAGGTTGAGGAAACCAAACAAGATAAACTAATCTTGCGACCGTGTTGTAGCCATGCTGGGCCTATGTTGCCCTAGCATAGCGCTAGGCTGGTCTTGGTCGTGGGCCCTAGGCCCTAACCCCTTTCACAAGGCGCGGCACGCGCGACTGGGCGAACCTGGAGGTGATTGGAGGCTTGGCTCATGAGCTTGATAGTTGCAAGCCCAAGCAGACAATAGCAGTAATAAAAGCTCTTTGCACGGAGAGTTAGACAACGCTAGACAAGATGAAGGCTTCACTGAAGCGTGAAAGTTGACTGTACGGCTTGCCATTCGTGCAGATTTTCACCAGCACTGAGTGGCCTTCCGGTGTTTCAGATCCTCCTGCGACAGGTCAAGCAGAGCTGAGGATGTTACATCGGAGAACGGAGAAAAACTGACGGGAATCGCACCTAGTTTGTTCCGGCTGTCCTATGGGTATTGTTTCTAATTGCATTTGCACTGTGAAAAACTCCTAAGCCCAATGCCTACCTTGGACGAAATCCAGCCCGACTTCAATCATTGCTCACACCCCTTTATATAAAGACAGTCATAGGGATATTTATGTTATTGGAGACTGTTTCAGATGATATGGATTTTGGAGTTTGTCAAGGCCCCATTATCCTAGTTTATAGATTGGTCCTTGTTTCATAGATTGGTCCTTGTTTCGCTCTGTAGCCTGTTGTTTCCCTTGGTGTTTGCCGTCCAATGTCAACCTTTGCAAGATCAGAACACATTTTTGCCTTGCCACCAGTTTGGCTCAAAATAGTTCGAAACTACAAGTAGTTTTTGGGCAGGATTTCGTGCGTAGGCCTGGCGCAACGACGGCCTGCTTGTTCTGACCCATCTAGCATTTCCAAGGCATTTGTCATGGTCTTGGGATGTGTTGGTGCATTTGTAGGTCACCACTTTTTGGAAAGCATGCCACATACAATACTGCTTTGTGTGTGGATGCTAACACTGCAGAACAGTTTGATTCTCATATACTTTTATATAATGAAATTGAATTTTGAAAAGGTGTTTGAATGCTGAACATGGAGAGGGTGTCTTCTGACAACCTGAAACGACGGATGCGGTGAAGAGGCATTGCCTTGATGGGGAATAGCTGGCATGGTGGCATGGAGCTGCTGAAACCAATTATTAGGGAACGGAACTATATCTGGTGCTTTCAAAACCCTAATATCGGGGTATCTAAGCAGAACAGATCCACAATAACTGGCAGAAGGACCTTGTCACATCTTGTCACCAAGCCTCCCAAATGAACGCAGGCCTTAATCCAAGCCTCCCGCGATGGCGGGCAAGGCGCGGATGCAAGATACGCGAGTGCACCAATGCACCGCAAAAAGAGCTTTGCGATGCAAACGTTCTACAGACGTAGCATTCATATGGAGTCAGACATTGGTCTCATACCAGCGATGCCCATCCAATGCAAGCAAGGGTCGAATATGGTATATAATGCTGCAACTTCAGTAGGTGGTTGCTCGGTGTTCCAATGCAGCGTCCACAAATTCTTCCTGTCCAAGCAATGAGTTTCTCACTTGCGACCAGATTCTGTTGAGTGAGTGCATGGGTGGGTGGGTGGCTGGCTGGGAAATCTATCCTATGGCATGCCATCTCTGAATCACCGTGGTGCACGATGCTCTCTTGTGGCCAGGAGGTTACCATGATCTTCCCCATGTTCGAGGGGGTGATGTTCATTTCAGCGTGAGAACCTTGGAATTTCACTCAAGGGAGCACAATCATTGAACGTGAGATCAATGGATTCTACAGTGTTTGGTCGAAGACCAGGATTCCTTTCGAAGGTTAGGACGCGACCTCGCAAGCCACTTGGAACCTGCGTTTTGCATGAGGACAGCGGAAACACCTGCGTTTTCCATTTGTCACTGTATCTTCTGTATCTTCGAACTTCTGATCCTTATTTTACATTCCTGCACTCTTGCTCATGAGTCGGGATCTAAGACAGATGCAACTCAGTCAGATAGAAGTAGAGCATGGGACAACATGGCCTTGAAAGGTCCTCAAAATCAAAGGTCCAATCCAATCAGACTCTTTCTGAGCATGCATGACTGGGGGAAACCATCGCCACCTTGCCAGTTTGACATGTGATCACAGAGACAGCAGAAACTTCTTTTTTTTCCATGGGTTTGTCTTGCAAAGAAGGGTGAGCCTCAATTCCCAGATTTTATCAACAGAACATGAATACTAGCAGGTTTCTGAATCACATCTAAGTTCCAGCTCTAACGGGTGAACACAGGTCCATCTACCCTTCAGAAATTTGTTTGGCATCGATCCAATCTTTTGCCCTCAGCTGTCGTAGGCCTTTCCTGGGTAGGGAGACCATATCTGGGGTGCACAGCAGATTCTCTGAGAACCCAACAGAACCCGCAAGGACAATCCCTGCTGGACTGCAAGGGGGGATTGTATTGATACTTATGCTGCATGCAAGGCATTTCCATTTGATCCATCTTTGACATCAGGTACATGCCACACATGATCGCTTGCCTCATCGTGCTCGCCACCATGGTCCGCCGACCGTTTCGAATCTGTGCCCAGCCCCCAGAGGGCTGGCAGTAGCACACTGAACAAGATGTGTTTCGGATCTGCCAGAGCAGCAAGTGTCACGGATTGGTCAGCCCCTCAAGGTCCATCCCCACCATCGCTTTTGAAACTTGACATGGTCAAAACAGCAGCTCAACTTTTCACTTGAATGATTATATATATATATACAGTATATACATAAATGATTATTGATGGTTGCAACAGGCAAGGAGACAACGGAGTCTTGCAAATAATGCCAAAGACCATTCAGGGGCATCTTTGCAATCTCGGAATTCTCAGCTAGATGATATCTTAAGTTGCTCTACCTGTATCAGGGTTACGAATGCAACCACTTACTGTACATAATTAGTCTATATAGTTCTTCTCGACCATTATCCAACCACCTGGGCTTTTCCTCCATTGGTGGGTTCGTCCATCGACACAACATGATGAGGTTTTGGTGCTGCCGGTCTTGACGCTCCCCGGTGCCAAGCATTGTGAGCGATGTCTTGGGCGAACGGGATATACAATGATACCGATGTGCAGTACACACACACACATTTCATCAATTTTCAAGGATCGGAAACGACCCATGGTTGTCGGGTCAGCGGATGCGTGAGCCAGATCCATGTTGCATCCGTTCACAGTGCGATCTTGATCCCTCAGTGCGTGGGTGGAAATCAGTCAATGAAGGGAAACACTGGCAAGCAAGACATTTCCAACGGTTGTAAGGGTTGTAGGCCTTACGTTTGGATTCTACACTACACTATACTGCGCTACACTTCACATCAGGCGCCTGTCTTGCGAGTTGGGCCTGGCTCTCCTTTTAGGCTTCGATTGCACGAGCTTTCCACCAAACCCAGCCCAGGTTTGCGACACTGTGCGGCTTGGCGATCATGGAATCACGCTGGCATGCTGAGGCCGGTCGGTCTCGTGCATGGTTTTGTTGGAGTACCTTTGTAGAAAGGTCAGCATGAGATCGATACATCAAAGAATGCTTACGTAATATATTTGAGTGCGGGTTGGCAGTGCTACGAACTAATCTCGGACGGCTGGTACTGGGTGGTAGGTGGGCTGAGCCAAGATGAGCAGCTTCAAGAACCTCTATGATGAAAAGTGTGCAAACTGTAATCTCACATTCTTTCGCGAAAGCCAAAACGCAGGTCGCGAAAGGTTCGCGAAAGCCCCGCGAAAGAACCCCAGAAGAACAGCGTCGCGAAAGCTTTCGCGAAAGTCGAATTTCTTGTGCATGTCGTGTTGTTTATGTGGGTGACTATATTTTTATGCAGGCAGCCGCAGCAGACCAGCCAGCAGCAGCAGCAGCGCTGAAGAGCAAGTGTTTCAGGGGAAAATCGAAAAGCCCAGATGAATTTCCGCGAAACCCGCGCGAAAGCCTCGCGAAAGAACCGCGAAAGTCGAACATATCCGGGAAAGGTATCTGGCCCCAGCAAAAAGTTTCAGCAAGTTTTCCTCCTCTTCTGATGACAACAATAATACTTGAACGGTGCTGCTACAACTCCTTGTGCCAGGATGTTGCCGGAAAGAAATTTGTTCAGTTTTGACCACCCTAAGGACACTTATATCGGATAACTTATATAGATCAATCACTTTATTGTACAATATCCCAATCGAATTTCCCAATCGAAAACGAATCGCCGCGAAAGCCGCCGCGAAAGCCCCACATAACACCACACCTTCCGCGAAAGCCAGAATGCAGGCCGCGAAAGCTCCGCGAAAGCTTTGCGAAAGCAAACCTGGATTATACAAAAAAGTAATAGGGGTTTTCGAAGCTGCTCAGATGTTGTTTTGGACCTTCAAAGCTGACTGTCGGAGGCCGAAGGTTACGACATGAACATGCCCTCCTTGCGAGAAGCATTGGAGGACGCGACAATGAACCAATGAGTCTAGGTTCGAGGGAACATGCTTTTTCGATGGAATGCATTGCAGCATGTACAATGTAGAATCACTCCATTCAGTCCATTAAGACTCATTAAGACTCACTCGCTTGATCCTGCAGGACTACATAACTACCGGCAAAGGCAACCTAGAAGAAATCCTAGAGGGTCCGAACCCAAGATCCTGGATCAGTTGCCAAGCAGGGCCATCCTGGATGCACTTACAAGACCCTGTATTTGTGTGCTTTGTGCGGAAGATAGGCAGAGGAAGGATTGATACTGTAGAGCTCTTGGAGTGCTTTTGCTTCCCACCTTCCGTCCTTCCACAGCTGATCACTGAACGTCTAGTGCACCAGCTTCAAAGCTCGATCCAATTTCTTTTGCCTATGCCTAAGCCTTGGAAGAGAGTCTCCAAGTCTTCCAGCTTCTTGTTACTAGTAGCAAGAATGCTCCTAGTAGTAAGGCCAGGAGCCCCTAGTAGCTTCTTGTTCCTAGTAGCGATTTGGCCAAGTCGAGGCAAGAAGTACCCTCCAGTTTTTGGGAAGATCGAGCTCTTCCGCTACTTAAACACCTGGCTGGGGAAAAGTGCCACTCGGTCGCAAGAGTACTTCGATTGTTCGACGATTTGACGATGCTGTTCAGCGGCAAGAAAAGGGCGGACAGCTCTGTATTTTGCGGAGATGTCAATATCATTCTTCCAGATCATTACGGACCCTACGAATGCAAATCACGGGTGCGTTGGCTCAAGTAACACTGTCTAAATGATTCCTGCTGTCCGAGGAAAAAACATATAGATGCTAGCTGCCAATACACGGAGCTTCCCTCTATAGACTCCCTCCCCCAATTGCAACACATGTGGCTATTTGGTGGAAGGGAGAGAGAGAGAGAGAGAGAGAGCGCGCCCCAAAGCAGACCCCAGTGGACAGGCCATGGATCATTGATACCAAATCTAAAGTTGCATCTCGCTTTGCTGTGCTTCTCATGTCTCATGCCCCAAGCATGTTTCGTGGCCCAGATTGGGCTTTCAGAATGCGAAGTATTTTCCAAGCCCGAAGGATTCATATTGTGTGTTGCTGTTCTGATTGTGTCGCATCCATTTGTGCCTCAGTTTGGCCCTTTGGGCCCTTTGCTTCACGTTCAGGTTTTTCACGACACTGACCAGGATGCCGACTATCTGCCAGAGGTGAGGGGAGACTTGGCAGCTCACGCGACAATGTTTTGCAGGTACGTTTTGATGTCGTTTGATGGCCAGACCACTCGACTTCAGGAAGACGTTGCAACAAATATTTTAAACAAACACATTAAAACGATACTAGTCTCAGCTTGTGCTCTTTGCAATTGAACAATCTACAATAGGATATTGTGCCACAAATGCCAGCAGGTTCCGCTTCTTGAGACTTGAAGTGCCTCCGACCGGCCGCTGCGAGGCCTACAATAAGGGTGATGACTGGTTCGAGGCCACTTTGGCCGATCCTATGGTCTACACCGGCGCTCTCTACGCCCCAGGCGAGGGTCGGGTGAGGAAGGAGAAGAATGCTTCACACACAATAGCGCCTTCACAAAGTTTCATTGGTTTTCCATCATGTAAGCAATGGAACAAGCATGTTGGACACATGCCTTAGCCTTGAAAGATTTCCTTAGTCTGTACAGTATCGGCAGATTGAGACATGCCGAACATGCTTTGTGGCGGTTCTCCTCAAAATGCATCCTAATTCTTCAATGTTCACAAAAAACTTGCACTCAGCTCCCCTGCTATCTCCGTTAATGGACGGAGCATTCAAGCCTTTTGACAAAGAAACCTTTTGCTCCCAAATAGCCAAGCCCACAATTCGCAAAGTTACAACACAACATTGACATTGGGGGTGTAGGAGTGCGGACCACGGTGGGGGGTTTTAAACAGTTTGTCTATCTCAATCCTTGGCATGCAAGTGTCTCTAACTTGAAAAAGGGCTTGCTTGCCTTGCTTTGCCTTGCCTTGCCTTGCGTTGCTTTGCTTTGCTTTGCTTGCTTGCTTGCCTGCTTGCTTGCTTCGACCATCTACCGTCCTACACCGACGACAACAGCTGACCCTCGTCTTGAAAGTCAGGCCAACTCGAAGGCTGCCTGTGGATTTGCAGTGGGATGACTAACAGATTTCATTACAACAGATGCCCCAGTGACATGAAATCTGTTATTCACTGTTATTATATACTGACATTTGCGTTCCTTGTGCTGCTCCTTTGTGAGCTGGATGGGGTGCAGGTCAGAACGAATCTGTGTGGTCTGCTCAGCAGAAGAAGCTGGAAGCTTAGGTTCCAACAGCTTGACTGCAGTTGAGTCTGAGCTTGGATTTGATTCGCCCCTTGTGGCATTTGTAGCCGGGTTTGTCCCATGACTGACAGAGTGCACGAGAGAGTAGCCCAAGAGGTCGGCAATGTTTTGGGCTCGAGACTTTCATCCGGCAGGGCTTGAGACTTTACCTGTTGTGCACAACTCCTCAGGCTGGAGTTCATCGCGTATGGCTTGGGCGTAAAGAAAGGAGACAAGGCGTGGCAAAAGAAGTGCACCAGAGGGGATGTTGAAAGCCGTCTACAAAGCAAACCTGGAAAATGATTCAAACCATGCAGAAGGTAGAGTCAATTCCTGACTTGTTTTGGTGGTTTAATATTGTGGTGAGAAGTTTGGTGATGCATTTTTCAAAGTAAAAACTGCTCCCCTTTTTAAGTGAGTTGGACTGGTTCACGGTCGCTTTGTAAGAGATTTCATGAACAATGAAGTCGCTGGCAGATATTGAAACAGATGGGGTTGTAGTAAATCCCTCAAGAATAGACTTCCGGACAACCTGGACAACTTGATTGAGAGGACAATTACTGTATTGAAACTCCTTCCCAACCAACTCCGTGCCATTGACCAGTGGGTTTGGACAACCCTGACACGAATTTACTTGAGTATTTTGCAATGCCTGAAAGAACGAAAAACGCATACCCAGACTCACAGCGCCCTGAATAAAGCCCATCAACCCAAAGGCCCTTGAGATTGGCTGTGGCTGGGGCCGTGCCTGGGCAGCATTGAAGGTCTTGTCGAGCCCCCCAAATGCTAGTTGTTTGATGTCTTGGACAGGTGTGCTCATGCTTGCCCGATCATTCTTGCTCCCCGAGTAAAGGGTCAAAGATGGTCAAAGTGTCGGTAGCTCGTCGTGTGCAAGTCCTCGAGTGAGATGCCACCTTACCAAGGACTTTCCAACTACCTTGCCAGCAAGGGAGCCAAGGTGACAGGCGAGCGGAACAATGAAGGGTCCAAAGCAGAACAAGTTGAAAGAGAAGTTTGCCACCTCAGAGCACTCTTCTCAAACGGACGCAGCCCTACCAACCAAGCACAAAGAAAAGCATTCGACAAAGTTCAACTCTCCTTTTGTGACCTGTTGATTCGGGAAGCTTCCTTGAAGAACGCTTGCTGTAAGACATTTCTTTGACGTACGCCAAACTTTAGAAGGGACAATCTGACCATCTCACGTATAGAAACATGATCGCGTGAAGAATCATTCTGAAACATTACCTGAATGCACAACTCCTTTGTTTCGTAGCGTGGATTGAGCTTTGCATCTCATGCTGCAAAACTGAACTAAGAGCCACACATCTGGGAGTTAATTTTTCTTCCCTCTTTTCTTTTCTTTTGCTACTTGCAGTACACACACGTTTTACAGCGTTTGTCCAACCAGGAAGATCCATCCCAAAAATCCAGAAAGGCCATTAAGAAGAGGACTCTCCAATGTGGCTGCCTTCATTTTTAGCCTTAGCTGTTTTGCTCACTTCAGCCAGGCGTCACCATGTCCTCTGATCAGCAAGCTTATGCCAAGCGAATGAGTGTCTTGGCCAGGAGAGAAGCAAACACCAGATGAGAACCCAACTGTGCACAGGTTTTCACTAGGGTCCCAATATAGCGAGTATGGAGATGGAATTGTTTTTCACATGAGCCGAGCCCAAGATCGAGTATCCTTCAGTAGGACTTCAACCTCAGTCCTTTCTTTCACAAGAGGCTTCCAGAGATTGGTGTGCATTGAAGATGTCGGGTCTGGAGCTTTCAAGATTGACACCAGACAAGCTGACACATTGCACACCAACAAACACCCACTACCTTGGCCATCCTCTGTTGACATGGGCCGCCTTCCTGTAGTGTGCCTTGATACCGCAAAGGGCCATCTCGTCCACTTGATCGTTTGTGCCCTTTGTGAGGCAGTCAGCTGGGCAATGGCGAGAATGTGGACATTGTTCTCAAAAACTTTTTTGACCTGCAGTTGCCAGCCTCTCGACTAAGATCTTGGCATGAGGCAATCTTCCCCTGGGGTCTGGAGTCTAGGCGGCTGGTGGCCGCTTGAAGAGACACGCTCAGGGTTCAAGGGTTGCGGAGTGAGACTTGACTTGATCTACTGTAGATTTGTCACTTCGCGCTTTGCGTCTCTTTGGGAGCACTGCTTCCAAGGACAAGTCTTTCAATGTCATCTCTTCCGTCGAAATGGCCGAGCATGTCGGTATCCGGAGCCTCGTTTGCACATTGGTCTTCGGGCAGTATGGCGGGAATGACCTGAGGACACCATTTCAGGACCGATATATATATATATATATAAGGTTTTGAGATAAAAGGAGTGCAAGGTTTATGGTTTGGACTCCAGGGTTTTAGGGTTTCTTTTGCAAGGCATGGCCCGCTGGGTGCTGCAGACATTTTTGGATTTAATCTACAATATGCTACAATGATCACAATGCATGAACCAGAACGAACCAGTTGAAGAAAGACATAAACAAGACCAGCTCACCTTCAAAGGCTCTCCGCTTCCTTCCTCGTCAGGCCCTTCACTTTGGGCAACGGCAGCAGCGTTGGGGTGTACCACCATTCATCAAACAAGGATGAGTACAACAAATAGACAGACAATTCACACAAAGGTTGGGTAGTGGCTTGTCTCCGGAAGGTCCCTTGTTTTCCTGACTTCATTGACGTATGCTCTCCGAGGAACTACAACAAGTTCTTGCGAAAGGCACCGGAGTGATGTCATCCTTGGCTTGGCGGATTGGTGGGCAGGTGGCAGCTTTTGCTTGGTTGAAAGCAGATCCACCAACTGCAACAGGAACAAGTCATATGCTCCATGTAGACGACAACCATTTCAAGCTTTGATGCAAGGACCGCATGCCATGCAAGTAGAACCCTTATTCCAATTCCGTTCCCCATTTCGCCTGACTTGAGCCAGCACTTGCTTTCAGGTGCATCGTTTGCTTGCCGACGACGGCGTGTTCTACCTTCAGGTGCCAAAGACCTTTTGATGTGTGGCAGGCACACCATTGTTTATAGAGGACCATGTGTGCAGTCCCAAGCGTCACCACACATCAGCATACATGACCACACAGATGGTCAACCACGAGAGCATCAGAGCTGGAGGAGAGCGTACCCCCCAAAATACTTAGATGATGCGAGTGATGCTAGACTGAGTTAGACTTATACTTTTTGCATCATCAACCCCCTGCTCACTAGAAACCATAAATACTACTCCTCAGTTTGTTTGTGGAGGGCCTTGGCGGTGTAATTTTCAGGTGTACGTAGTACGTAGCAGTGTTTTAAGGGGGAAGTGTGTAGAAAAAGTTGTAGAAGAGGGTGTGTGTGTGTGTCTGTGACCCCCTTGGAGTCACAGGGATTCCTTTGAATTTGTATTTGATTTGTTACTTTTAGCAGGTACTGTGCGCGATGGTCCAACGAAGCGGCCACAGTACATGTGGATATCACGGCTGATCACCGTGACGTACCTGCTCCAGTTGTGAATGTTGATAGCTACATCCCACTCTACTTTCAGGCTGTTTAGGTGGAGGTAGGTCGGCAGACTTTGCGACTCTCGATTTGTGGAACCTTGGTTTCATCTATTCCTGTACTCTTAGGCGTGCATACCTAGGTGGGCGTGTGGCATGCGGCACTCAGTCCAGTACGCAATATCTGGTGTGTGTGTGTGTGTCCACCCCTGGGCGAAGGGTTTCTTCCAGCCACTCCAATTACCACTTTCCAACCACAGTTT